CGCCTCGGCTCCGTCTCTGCAGCTGGCTTCCCCGCTCTGACCCCTGGGAGCTCTGCCGCACTCAGGCACCCCCGGTCTTTCTGTGACCCCGAGGGTCCTGAGACCACACTATCCCACGAGGGTTCCACCTCCTGCTTAGCCGCTGGAGCGACGTCCCTCAGAGGAGCCGACCCCCAAAAGTTCTGATTTTGTGCTCCGCGGCTCTATCACTTGCCAGAAGCGGTCGATGGAGGCCTCATCCTCCGCCGTCTATCCTCCTGAATATCGCCTCAGAGTCACTTCTCTGCACGTCCTACCTTCCAGTAAGTGGTCGCTTTTCTGTTCAGAGAGTTGTTGCTATTCTTTCTTTCGATCTCCTGTTGAGTTTGTAGGTGTTCACAATGGTTTGATCCCTATTCAGTTGAATTCCTGAGACCAGATGAAATCCAGGTCTCCTACTCCTCCGCCATCTTGCTCCCGCCTCGAAAATGAGTTCTTAGAAGTAATAAGTGAAAGTACTTTATGCTAAACAAGTATGTGAAAGAAAACTAAACAAACATTACACCTCCTCTTGTCATTGAAGGCAAATTTTATTTATATTATGGAGGTACTTTACTTTGCTTCACATTGTCCTTGATCTTGCCTAATCAAGACACTCTTTAATCAAACATGTTTTACATCTGACATCTTTTTCTCTTAGGAAATAATATACCTATCATTCAAGGTGTTATTGAAACAATGAACAAATATGAAGCCAAAGAGAGGTGTCTTCTATTTTGGTATTACTTTTAAGATCCCAAATTCTTAACCCCACTTGTAATGTATTTATTTTGGTTTTAGTGGCCAAGGATGTCAATATTCTTTTTGATGAATTAGAAGCTGTCAACAGCCCTTGCAAAGATGACGATTCTCTGCTTCAGCCTGGAAACCTAACCAGTACTTCAGATGATGCTAGCAGATTGGAAGCAGGAGAGGTAAGTGTATGATTTCTTAAAAGTACAATATTTCATCCAGGTGGGAACCTGTGAAGCATATTCCAGGGGATTATTTAAAGTCATCATCTCATTGAACTGTAGGTTTCCAGAAAACAAGGGGCAGGTCTTAATATTCTTTTGATTTCCTCCATAGGTCTAGCACATTTCAGGGATCCTGAATCTACCTATGTTTAAAACAAACTTTCACTAAGTGATGTATTTCCCTTCTTACACCTATATTTCATTTATATAAAGGGAGATACTTAAAATCACTTGTCATTTTATGATAGTCTACATTCTGAGTGTCACTAGTAGAAAGAAAGCTTTACAAGCATGGACTTCCTTGTATAAATCCCCCAGCGCATACAACAGTGACACAAAATGGAGTTTCTGTTTGCCTCTGTAATGTGGAAACTCATTGCAATTGTAAATAGATCCATCTGTTCATATGTCGTTTTGGAAGAAAAGTCTTTTGTTAGGGGCATTCACTCTTGCTTAGATTTTGTCTCAGTGGAGTTTAATAGCTTCTTTGTTTCTGCGGTAGGTATAGGTAATAGGAACACAAAATGAGAGTCTTTTATTGCATAGTCCTCCTGTTCTTATTATTCCAGAGCCAGTTAACCATTGACAGGATGACACCTTTGAACAGAAAAAATTGGTTACTTCTACCAAACTTCCCATACTTCTCTCTACCAACACCATATGCTACTGTCCATGTATTTTTTTTAAACCTCATTCCTTTGTCATCTCTTCACACAGTTACCTTGAGGGCTATGATGTGACATAAAGGAGCTGTCTCAAAAGGGACCTCAAAGAGCACCTAGTCTTATCTCCTTAACTTACAGATAAGGAAACAGTCTCAGGAGGGTTAAAGCTTTGCTAAGCCCCCTCATGATGCCGTGGCTGAGACCTTGTTTTTGCAGACAGATGCTGATGTGCTAAATCTACAGAGTAGTTCCCTTGCTTGGCAAATAATTGTTAAGAAAGTGTTTATTTGGGTAGGCTTCTGAGTACCTCTTAAAGCAAAAACCAAAAAAATAATCAGTGAGGATTGATCATCTATTGCGAATGTCTGCACCAAGGCATGGGATGTGACATTTCCATCCCTTCTGGCTGATATTTTCCCTTTTGGATGAGGTGGCATACATGGCACTTACGCAAGAATGTACATTCTAGCAATGACCTTGGAGGTCTGGTGTGTTTGCCTCCCATACACCACTACTTGAAAACTGATGTAAACTGGGCCTATAGAAAAGGTAGCCACCCCCCTACCCCCGTTTCCACTTGCTAGGTTCATAGACATGTTTTTGAAGTCTATCAGCCTGAGAAACCGGGCTCTAGCCTAACCGGCCTGTACTTGATGGTCTCTTTCAATGTTGTGCGTGATTATAACAAGCCTATGGAGCCTGGAAGAAAATTATACCTACTATTTTGTTCTTTAATTTTTATATATGTAGTCACTGCAAAATAATACTTATAACTTACATGTAAGTTTTGAAGCATAATAATAAAATGAACACCTTAAACTACCATCTAACTGATGAACTAAGATGATATTTTTCAAATTATGATGGCAACCTATAGTTGTGGGTTACTAACTCCAATTATTTTTAGTGGAATGGAAAATTAATATTAGCATGTGTGCAAGTAGAAAGGATAAGTATTGTCTTGTGAAACTTTTGTCTCAGATCCTTGGTATGTTTACATATGCACACAGATATCACAAAGTAAAATGTTTTCTTATTGTGGGCAAAATTTTTGAGGAATGTTGAACTAGAATAATACTAAAACCACCAAAGCTACTTTTAATCCCATCCTTCTACCATATTCCTGAATTTTTGTTTTTTTATTCTCTCGCTCTAAAAATAGCTTTACCATGCACATACATAGCCTTAAAAACTTCTTTCTAGATTCATTTTATTTTGTGCTTTATTAAAAATCATGTAATATGAAGTCTTCTCTTACTTGTTCTTTTTCTGTCTATATTGTTTTAAGATATGTGCTTACTATTAGATGTAACTGTAGTTCATTCATTTTTACTGCTATTCCACTGTATGACTTGTCCCACCATTTATTTACCTATTTGCCTGTCCATGGACATTTGAACTGATTCACGTTTTTTATTTTCTACTCTTATGAGCAGTGCTGCTATAGATAGTCATATACATGTCTCCAAGTTGCTTTAATAAGGATTTTTCTTGCCAGTGTGTTTTCCAGAGTAAGGATATCAGTTTTCACTCTCACTTTTAGAATATGATCATTCTCAGTTGTCCCACATCCTTGCCAACATTTGGTGTTATTGTTAGGTGTCTTAAGTTTTGTCCACTTCCCTCAATTCTTTTTCCGATTTTTATTTTTCTTCCCTACTGTTTACATTTTTCATTAATAAAAATATAATTTTGGTAAAACACAATGAAAAAATCATTTACTTTTAATTCCTTAATATTACCTCAGGCTCATTTTTATGAGCGTCTTAAACTGGTTTCTTTCTCTCTGTGTGCAGACAGTGCCAGAAAAAAACAAATCAAATGGACTTTACTTCAGAGATGGAAAGTGTCGAATTGACTATATTCTTGTGTACAGAAAATCCAACCCACAGACCGAAAAGAGAGAAGTATTTGAAAGAAATATTAGAGCAGAAGGATTACAAATGGAGAAAGAGGTAAATAGTTTGCTTGGATGAGAAGAAACACAAATACGCATCTATTCATATTGAGAGGCAATTTAAAAATAAGCCATTATGTTATGTTCGTTATGTTAACAGAACATTTCATTTGCCAAACTGCAGTGTTTGGGGAATGTTCCAATAATTAATTTTTCGAAGCACAGTTTGCCTTTGAGAGCATTTTAATGCCAAAAGATTCCATGAAAATCAAAATACTCTTATTTCAATTAAATGAATTGTTTCAGAGTGTTAGATTTACCTGACTTCCTAGGTCTACAGTTTCTCTGTGTGAATGGAGGGTTCTATTACATGGGTTTAAGAAATCTTTGGATAAAATGCAATCATTCCACTCTGGAGCCTCTTTTTACATTTCAGGAAACTTAATGAGCTTGGGCATCCTCACATACCAGGAGAGACTGTCTGGCTGATTTGGCCAAAATGATTCCATTTTAAGAGACATTCAGGTGTCTTTTTATCAGGTTCCATAACTCAAGGGTTACCTTACCAGTGTTTTGTTCTCTCCCCTTCTTCTTTCTCTGTATAGGGATTTTTAAGGGAAAAATTACTAAGGAAGGTACCAGAGGCCCAGCCACACCTCTGGCCCACAATGAGATTATTGTGTACCCCAAAATACCATGCACATTTATAGAACTTGGCCCTGTTAGCTAGATTACATAACTCTTCTTACATTTTCCTTAAACATTTTGCAAAGCTTCTGGAGCTTTTCATAGTCAATGAGAAGAACATATTGGCAGTTAAAAATGTTTGCTTCTGATTCTGCTTCTCAAGGTTGAGGGGATAGATCTTTGAAATCAGACATCCACGTTCTTCTTTGTATGGCACACACGGATTGCATGCTGATCTTAAGACACTTTAGATATGTAGGATTTTGCCAGATCTGTTAGACTGACTTCAACTCTTGAGCATTTATGAAACAGAGCAGTATTTTTCTGGAACATCTCCAAAAAGAGAATTAGAAAAATGGCAAGGGGCGCCTGGGTGGCTCCATCGGTTGAGCATCTGACTCTTGATTTCAACTCAGGTCGTGATCTCAGGGTCCTGAAATCGAGCCCAGCGTCTGGCTCCTTGCTCGGTGCAGTCTGCTTCTCTCCCTTTCTCTCCCTCTTCTTCTGCCCCTCCTCCTGGGAGCACACCCTCTCTAACTCTTTCTCTCTTGCTCTCTCTCTCTCCAATAAATAAATCTTAAAAAAAAAAAAAAAATGGCAAGATGATTGTGGCCATAACAGGTTCTCCTTCTCAGGAAAGTGAATCCGGGCTTCTCCAAAGACTGTCTCAGCTGGAGGTTTCCCTGGAGCAACACACAGAGTTAAATACTTTGTTTCCACTTCTGTGGGGTTCCAGGAAATCTTTGTTCTACCCATAGAACATAGCTTTGATAAATCTTCTTCTTTAAGTGTTTATTGAGACAACTCTATACTCTTTTCTTAACATTGGTAGTGCATTAATATTTTTATTTTTTTTAAGATTTTATTTACTTATTTGACAGAGAGAGAGTGGAAGCAGGCAGAGCAACAGGGAGAGGGAGAGGGAGAGGGAGAAGCAGGCTTCCTGCTGAGCAGAGATCCCAACGCAGGACTCGAGCCCAGGACCCTGGGATCATGACCTGAGCCAAAGGCAGACGCTTAACTGACTGAGCCACCCAGGTGCCCCTAATATTTTTATCCTTAAAAATCATTCCTTCACCTTTTATTCTTATTCCTTATTCAGAATTTCTATATAAAGCAGGTGTGAATTGCCACCTGATCCTAAATAATGAAAGTCCTTCTTCTGATCCATTCTGATTCTGTCAGAGTCTTAATTCCCATCAAAACTATGTAGCTTTGTTCAATTACTGAGAGATTTCTATTTTAAGCTTCGTAACTATGTTCTCCATTCCTGGGGTTTCTTCTGCCTAGATCGTTTTAATGCCATTTTATGACTTATTAGTTAAAACTCAAAAAGTTCAATACTTTTCTGAATAATACCCAATACTACAGAGATTGCAAATCTCCTGTGTCTCTTAAAATATCGTCTGTGCTACAGTATTCATCTACTGGAATTGAAGCAGGCAGCAGAGAATTGTGCTGCCTTTTGTTACCCAGTTTTGCTGACTGTGGTGTGCCGGATGATTGCTGTATGATTTTAATTGTTTACAAGATAATTTTGTTTGGTTGTGACTTCTTGAAATTTTAATAGCTAGGTATTTGTTTAATGTATATTAGAAAAAAATAGCAGTTAGAAAAAGGGTTATGTCACCATATAGAAAACTTCATAAAAACTTATCTAAGCACTTCTTCTTCCTTTTCCCTCCAAGACTTCTCTGGATGGCAGCTTTCCTATTTCTCCTTTTTCCCCACAATCCTCTATCCACTACCAACAGCAAGTTTTTCCTCTTTCTGGAACCTTTGTTCTCAGCAGCCTTTCCCACTGCCCAGCTCCAGTCTTTTCCCTAATTCAGCCTCTGAGCTCTGCTCTGTGTTCTCATGGCCGCAGCAGGCTCAGCAAGGAGAGTCTTTGCAGGTTCTTCTCTGCCTGAGAGGTAGCAGGCAATTATAGATAAATTTTTTCCTGTCACAAATAATTAAAATAGAATGTCCCTTAGTTGAACAATAAACCTGTGTCTACATTGTGTTGTTAGATTTAGAAGCCATCAAAAGCACTCTTATTTAAATCAAGTGTTTTATAAACAGCTACAGCCAAGAGACCATAATATCAATAGCTATTTCAGCTTCCAGAAGTTACTTCACTCTTTTACACAGAAAACAAAGAACTTAGTTCAAGGTGGAAAACAAAAAAGAAAACCCAGAAAGCCTACTATGAATCCATATATATGTGAAATGATTAACACTAAATACATTGTATGATTAGTGTTTTTTCTTCATTAGCTGTGTGTCATGATGCCCAACAATTAATGGAAAACATGTTTCACAGACTTAGAGGGTTTGCCTTCAAAAGGGTAAAGACAGGCTCTGTAGTTGAACATTTTGACAATAAGAGAATTGTTATCTCTTTTAACAGTGAATTTCAAAAAACAACTAGGAGAATCTTTAATTCATGATAAAAGTGAAGACATAGTCAAATTTAATCTTCCCTAAAAAAAACTTTACCCCTGCCTGATTAGTCAGCAGCTAAGTGCTTGCTTTTGGCACCCTGGGTCTTTAATATTCTGTAACTCATCTTTCATATTAGCCCAGAGAAAGCAGTCTACAGCAAAATTCCCAAGTGAAGTATCATTAAGTCCAAATGATCTGCTTCTTAGTGTCTATTTGAGGAAATCCCCCTTTTTAAAGGTAAACTCATATTTACATTTTCCATTTCAGATTTTTTTTTCATTTTAAATTTTAGGTTCATCATTGGCATTTTGGTACCTATTTTCAAATGATTATCATCAATAAGAAGTTTATCTTTTCCTTCATATAAATAATCAAATTGTGGATGACTTTTGAATTGCTTGGAATGTGTGAGTAGTAGTTGTATTAATGAAGTGCTCTTTCTCTTTAGACCCACACAGAACATGGGGGGGAAACCTCTATCATTAGTCTTTACAAAATAACTATAATTAGATAAATCATGCCATTTTGATGCTAGTTAATTCATTCATCAAACACGCACACTCCCTCTATGCCAGGCACTGCTTCAAGTACTAGGAACTCAGCAGTAAATAAAACAGACAGAAAGCCCTTTTCTGTTGGAACTTAAGCACAAAATTAAAAGTAAATATATATAAAATATCAATAAACATTATGGGGAAGAAAGTAAAGCAGGAAGTGTTGGAAGGGATTTGTAATTTTGTAGAAGTTGACAAGGGTAGGCCTCTCTTCCATGAAAAGGGAACAGTAAGTTCAAAGGCACTGAGGCAGAAGCTTCCCTAGTGTGTTCATGGAACAGTGAGGAGGCCAATATGACAGTAGTCACTGAGCAAGGTGGAGAATAGTGAGAAATTACTCCAGAGAGACAGTGGAAGACAGAGGACATCAGGTCTAGTGATCACTGGGAAACTTTAGCTTTTCTGAGTGACAAGGACATCCTTGGACAGTTTTGTGCAGAGGCATGACCAGATCTGGTTTCTGTTTTATTAGGGTCACTTGGGTTGCCTGGTGATTTTCACTATGGAAGGGGGAGTCATGGCAAGGGCAGAAGCAGGGAGATTCATTAGGAGATTTGTTGTGAGAATCCTGGAAAGAGAGGATGGTGGGTTGGTCAAGCACACAGCAGAGATGTTGAGAAGAGTAGAAAGTAGACCTTATGGGAATTTCAGACACTTTGAGTGAGTGATGTAAGAGAGAAGGGTCACAGGCTGTTTATTTGTTTCATGCTGTTCATTTAAGGAGTTGGAAGAAAGGAGTTGCCATTTACAGGGATGCGGAGAAGAGTGGGTCCTCTTGTAGACAGGTTAAGCCTGGTGTGTCCCAGTGGTGGAGATGCTAAGTGGGACAGAAGAGTCTGGAATACAGGAGAGCTCTGACTGGGAGATATACACTGGGATGAGCTCACCAATGGAATGACTACAAATGGAAAAGAGATCCAAGTATTGAACTGTGGGACATACCTGTGTTGTGAATTTGGAGGATAAAGGAGTCAGCAGAAAGGAGCCAGAGGGAACTCAGAGGGTGTAACGCCTGGAGGAGAGTGTTTCAGGAGGGAGCGATTGTGTCAAATGCTGCTGAGAGGGCAAGTAAGATCAGGACCAAAGTTAGCTGTTGAATTTAACAATGTGAATGAGTTTAGTGAGCTGGGCAAGGGAAGTTTCTGTGGGGAGGTGAAAGTGAAAGCATGACCAAGGTATATTCAAGAAAGAATAGGAGGAGAAAACTTGGAGAGGGCAGTTATAAGTAGCTCTTTCAAAAGAGAGAAATGGGGTGATAACTGGAGTAAGAAGTTGGGTCAAGAAAGAGTTCTTTCTATTTAAGATGGGAGAAATAACTGCATATTTTCATGTTAATAAAAATCACTTACTTCGCAAAATTGATGTCGTAGAAGAGCGAAAGAAGAATTTA